CACACACACACACACACACTTTCATAACAGTCTGAGTGCTATACGTACGTTTTTTATCTATGCATCTAATCAGTTCAAGTAAAACTGTTTTTCATCATCGAGGTCGCCCCACCTTTTCTTTCATTCCCCGATTTCTACCACAATTCTATTCATTTAACTGTACTGGACTCCTTCCTTACCGGATAAATGTTAATGATCTCTTCTTCACAGATCCCATAAGACGAGACCCGGCAGTCATGATACTCATAAAGGAGGGGTACGAAGAGGAGGCCGTGATTCAGTCTGCTCGAGAGATAAAGGAAAATGGTCAGTGAATCTAAAATTGTACCCCCCCCCCTTTTTCCCCCCTTTTCCCATCGCTCACACACCTGCTTATTGATTTCTTCTTTCATCTCTCCCTCCCCCACCCCCACTCTCTTTCTTTTTCATTTTCTCCCCCCGCCCCTTCTCTCTCTCTCTCTGTCCTTCTCTCTCCCTCTTTGTATTTTATATATACACTATATATATATAGACCAGCCCTGTTTAAGAGAGGCAGATTTTGCTGTCGCTTCTGCGAAATCTTTTCGTTCCTCAAAAGCAGCTTCGCAATGTATGAAAAATGGTTCTTTCATCCGTGCGAGGCGCCGAGTATAATGCGGTCAATTCGTGGCGCGACTTAATCGCAAATATCTTTTTAACGGGCGAATCAGTGTCACCCATACTTTGCACAGTAGTTTGTATCAATTTGTCTTAACTTAATCATATTTTTCCGCAGCAACTGAGGCTAGATTAAACAAATTTTGCTTCTATATAGAATGCTACAAATATCCCTCACGAGGAAAATGAAATTGTTGGCATCACTTTCTGCTTCTCAGACACATTTTGCGTACGCATATGGCCTACGTCACAGCTCACCAATAACACTTTCTAATGGCAAAACTTGTCACAAGATATTAATTTTATAGTGAACACTTTTTTTCACTTAAATTTCTCAAAGTATGCGTTCAATAAGAATAGTGTCACAAATAGAAAAACTTGACGGAATTGCATTTATACGCGATATTGAGTCAGCTGTAAACCTTTTAAAATATGTAGAAAGCACCTACTGGGATTTCGTATGAATATTTATTAAAATTTTCTAAAATAGAGCTAACAGGTGTTTACAAAAATATTGATCTGTTAAGACAAATTTGTTACAAGTCACTGTGCAAAAACTAGAGAGCCTATGTTCGGTAGTTGAGGAGACATTTTTGACAAAAAGTTGCACCACGAATTTTTGACCAACTTATAGTACTCTTAAGTTCAGGACTTAGATCAAGAACGCCTTATTTAGGATTGCAATTAACGAAGTTGCGGCAATAGCGTCGTCTTCACTGTGAGAAACAGCACGAAAGAAAATTCAGAATCTTTCCGTCATCCAACACGACACTCCTGCCCTCAAACTGCCCCGTATAACAAACAACACCGTTTCTGGAAGATCATAAGTTGTCTTAACATGAATGTCATGGACTGGCCAGTGTTCGTACCGTAGATGTCTAAAACAGTGCACGTATGGGATGAACTGAACCCCAAAGTCATGTGTGCCGTTTTGTGAATTTTTTAGCTATAGAGAGATCGCACTCCCGCGAAAGTGAGACTGAATTTCTCAACAAAACACTGAATATGTTATAAAATCCATGTGAAGAAGTGTTTTGGTCTGTATACTCATTAAAGATGGCCATACTTTACTAAGAGTGAGAGATCTGTATTGACTTTCGATTTGTTTTTCTCTGCAAATTTGTCTAAAGGGGGTAGCCTACTCATATATATATA